CATCTTGAATGGCCACTGCGACCAATTATCCTTCCCTTGTTAGCTAAATAGGGTCAAATTCATAAGTTCCTCGGAGTTGAATGAAAATATGTCTTCAACACACAGTGCATTTGAAGGTCAGTTTTGCACTTACTTTGAACTGTCATGTACAGAGCACAAATCCAGCCGCAGGTATTTGTAAATATAAAGGCAACGTACCGTAATATGCATCGAATAATACTGGTGATTGCTGATTGAGTAAAAACGTTCTTCGTCTTCGCACGCTGTCGGAGTTCCACATTCCCCATCGCTTTTGCGTGTATAGGGAAACTCCTAGCATATTCGTTTCGAGGGACTTTGAATGTCGTTGAGAATGTGCTTTCATGGATTTAAATTTCTTGAAATGTGTGTCAAAGCACTTAGCCCTACAGTGTCGGAGAGGTGAGGGCAGAGATGATGTTCTATGTCTTCTTTGCTACCTCGATGTTATTCGCTTGTTCCCTTGCTGTGCCTTCCCTTCTAGGTCGTTCATCACGTTGACTTCCCGACTTAGATCAACGTAGCTAGAGCATTCAGAGATGTTCGTTCCGCTCAGCGTAAAGAGAGCCTGAATTACCAATCCGTTTCTCATGAACAACGTCATTACGTCCAGTCGCAAGCCCATCTTTCCACGAGCGTTGTCAAGTTCAACAATCATTTTTGAAGTTCGATGTTATCAGCAGGATGCCGTTTGCAAAGCATATGATGTAAGCAGCGGCCGTCCAGCTTCTCTCCCAAGGCTTCTCATTTTGGGCGCGTGATGTCTTCGGAGCGGCAAAAATCGGGCGAGGTGGTATCGTCCTGCCAAACTTTTCTGTTCACATTAGCAATGAATTCCTTGTATACGAAAATGATGATGACGCAATTCTATCCATGAACTTGATGGAGAGCTCCATATACGGTAGCGCTCAAATGTCCTCGATGAAACGTTTTGACGCTTTTTCGCTCTTAGCTTTTTTCTTAGTAGACCAAATCGCGCAAAATTTGGATATGTCTAAAGAGCATATTTCACCCTACCCATCACTACATGACTGCAAAGCTGCAATATCCACAGATAGAGCAAGGTGTTTGTTGCGGTAGCAGAGGTAAAGTTGTTGATGTCTGCACTTATTCGCACCTTATTTGCGTTTGTCTCATCCATTGTGTTCGGCGTTACCGCTCGTACACTTTAGACATGACAAAAAGGAAAGAGATTCTAGGAGGGCCATCATCTATTTTATCATATCATCGTATTTTCAGTCGATTTTGAGTTCATGTCCTTTGGAATATCTAAAACATGTTCAGATTGCAGGTTGATAGTGGTAAATATTCACAATACACCCACACTCCAAATATAGAAATTTCGCATGGTTAGATCCAGTAGGAAAGGAGTTACGACTGAAAAGTACGGCTGAAGAACCATTTTACCGAAGACTTGAGCGCTACTGTATAATGAGAAGAACCAACCTTTTTGCCCAAGATATCAATTACCGCTTTGTTCTCGACGGTATCGAAGGCCTTCTTCGAAGATGAACAGGAGACATAAGAGCATCGTGTACTCTTGCGATTCTTCAACGAGTTTATGAAAATAAGTATTAGGTTGTCGGAAAAGTATTTGCGCATTTTGGTTTCCATGTTGTGAAATCTTTGGGGATTGCTCTAGAGCCTTCACTGCGGAATATGTGTAAGTGCAGGTCAATGCGCTCTCCACACCATATGTGCCGTAGCATTTCGCAACGGTTATGGCTGCAAGAATCGCTCTCGACTCAAAGCTAGTCAGATTATCTTTTCTTCATAAGTTCAGAAAAAACGTTAATCCAAATT